GTTGATCCACTTTTCCCCAATATTCTTTTGCAGCTGTGCAATCTTTTTCCACTAATGTGCCTATTGACACCAGTTGGTCCACGGTTCTGACAGTGCCCCGAAGGCAACCAGCTATTCTGGGATTACAGTTGTTGAGTATTTTCCTCACCAACTCCGCCTCGGTGATATCGGGTTTCCATCGTAGACAAAGGGCTCGGTAATCATAGGCAAAATCCCTCAAACACTGTTCGGGTACCTGCACCATATCCCTCAACTTCTCCTCCACTTCCATGAGGTAATCAGGAGGTAGGAAAGCTGCATGAAAAGCTTCTTTGAATTCTGGCCAGTTGTGTACTGTGCTTTTAGCTACACACCACCAACTATGCGCTGGCCCCTTAAGAACCCCAGATAAAGCCCCTATTAGCTCAGCATCTGTTAATGGCCTAACTTCAAAGAATGTTTCACAGCAATCCACAAAGTTCAAAACCTCTCCAACCTCCCTGGAACCACCAAAAGAGGGGAACTCCATCTGAATGACAGGCTTTGAATACACCACCGGCGTACTGCTTGGATGGCGGTATACTGCTCCTACAGGTGTGATGGGGTTTATATTGTCAATGACTCCTGGTGGTTGTCCCAGCAGAAGTATTTCAGTGAATGATGTCCTGCCGTGTGGCGCAGCATCAATAGTATCAAGTTCTCTTCTGGCAATCTCTGCTCGACCGACAGAAACCCCAGCAGAGGGAACTGAATGAGTAGGAGTGGGATAACTAATATGAGGACCCGACCCCTGAGTGTCAGTACCAAGAGAAGGAGCATGGGTGTGAGAGGCACTAATGAGAGGTGGTTGAGCTGGAGTGGTGCGACCATAAGACGTCTGAAAACTAGCACCAGCACTGACAAAGGGCCTATGGACAGCAGGGAGGCTGGCGCGCTTCAGCCTTTGGATTTCTGCCTTCCATTTTTCATCACGCCTTTGTAAACAGTCCACCAGTTTCTCTTCAAAGTTTTTCAAAGTTGACATCACATGATGCTCCAGTGCTTCAACATTCTTATTCACGAAGCCTCTGATGCTATCTTCTCGGTTTAGCGCACTATTAACTGAATCTCTAAAATTAGCCTCAAGGGAGTTAACTCTCTCTATAACTGTTCCCAAGTCTGTGGAAAAAGATGCAAGAGCAGGATATGCATGGTAAGATGTACTATCCCAATCTCCTATACTTTCCTCCTGCTCTGCATCAGATCTATAAAGAGAACCGATCAAAGAGGTAATATCAGTAATAGATTTTCTTCTTGTTATCTATGTTTTCATGGTGTTGCCCACTGGTCTCCTGTACTATTCTACCTTCTTCAGACTCATTATCTTCTAATTGTGCTTCCATATTCTGTTGTACATTTTCTTCAGAAGCCATTGCCTGACTATGGTTATTTTACACAAGTACAGAACACGTTTTTCTTTTCTCATCCAATCAATACAATTCAACACATAGGCTTAGTGTCTCAGTAAACAAAAATATCCCAATTGGCAGTTTCAAAATCTCCAAAAATGTTCTCTTTAAATAATATCAGATTTTTAAATCACATTTCATTCCCCATACTAGCCACCATCTGTAACGATCAAGAATCTAAACATAGTTGTGTTAATTAAACGCACAAGGGGTTCTTGAATGAAATATATTATAAAGGTAAACAGAAATAATAAACGGATAATCTGCTCCTTAAACAAAATAAACAGAGACAGATTTCATGCATGGATCCATTATATTGACAGTTTTCCAGCCAAACAACACAAACAAAATTAAACAGTCCGCTCTGCAATAAACAACAAGTGTCTTTACTGCCTAATCCAGGCTATTGTTCATTGACAAAAAAAAGGCTGTTGCTCCTGCGCCTGTCGGCGGCAAAAACAGAAATGTTTGTAGGCCTTTTCAGGCTATATTCCACACCAAATCAAATCAAATCAAATTGTATTTCTATAGCACATTTAAAAACGATTTTCGGTCGAGCCAAAGTGCTGCACATGCAGATAATAAATAACACATTCCTACCGATGTAAACAGAAGACAATAAATTACAACATAAAATATAAAAATCAAACACAGGGAAGTGTCATGAGTCGTGCTCTGCTCTGATTAGAAGGCCAGGGTGAATAAGTGAGTTTTTAGTTTAGATTTAAAAACCCCTAGGGTCTGGGCCGACCTCACATGGAGGGGAGAGTGTTCCAGAGCCTAGGGCCAGCCGCCGCGAAGGCTCGGTGCCCTCTGGTTTTTAGCCTGGTTTTAGGCACTACCAGTAGCAGCTGGTCAGCAGACCTTAACGCTCTGGCTGGGGTGTAGCGCTGGAGGAGTTCAGCTATATAGGCCGGAGCCAGCCCATTTAGTGCTTTAAAAACAAATAAAAGGATTTTAAAATCAATTCGGAACAGAATTGGAGGCCAGAATTGGGGTGACAAAGGAAACACGATGTCCAGCGTGGCACAAAGGAGCGATCTCACCCTATGTCGGAGAGAATCTCTCTCTCTCTGTGCGCGTCCTCTCCAAGGAGACGTGCTTCCAGGTCGGTCGATGCAATATCCACATACGGTTACTTTCAGTTACTTCCCCGTTGCATTTTAACATATATACATGCTGAGAAAACGTAACTATCCCGCTGAATACCCGCATTCACCACACAGGCTTCCTCCTCCCGTGAGAACCCCCCATGGCATCCTGTTGACGCGCCCACTAAAAAGCCTCTGGGCGCGTCGCGACAGGTGAATATGCAAATGGGGCTTGCAGAACCACACCCTCAAACCTTACATAAAAGTGGACATTTAACGACTGTAGTTGCGAGGATAATACACATGCATCATAGGTTTTCAATTCATTTGAATCTAAACTACATGCCTTAACGTTTTCACCTGCCCCTACAGTTTATAAGAAACACTGAGATCAATCTGCGACTGTCACAAGTGTATGGCCAGAGGGCAGGACCTATAAACACATTTACTACCCACTAGCATTGTGAGGCTGAACAAAAGGACCTATTGACTATGTAAATGTAGTCTTTAAAAAAACAAACATTTACTGACTTTTTTAGGATAGCTTAAAGTAATGTTGTAAAATTACAACAGTGGGCCTTACAGGGTTTTGAGCAGCCTGACGGCCCAGGGGTAGAAACTGTTTTTGAGTCTGTTTGTCCGTGACTTGAAGCTCCTGTCTCTCCTCCCAGAAGGCAGGAGAGAGAACAGTCTGTGACCTGGGTGAGAGCTGTCCTTTATTATGTTGTTAGCTCTGCTGCGGCAGCGGGAGGTGGAGATGTGTTCCAGAGCGGGCAGGGGGCAGCCGACGGTTGTCTCTGCCATCCTGATCACTCTCTGCAGGGCTTTCTTGTCCACAGCTGAGCATCCTGCATACCACCCCGAGATGGAGTATGACAGCACGCTCTCGATGGTCGCCCGGTAGAAGGACACCAGCAGCTTCTTGTTCAGTCGGTTCCTCCGAAGCACCCTCAGGAAGTGTAGTCGCTGCTGGGCCTTCTTAACTGCTGCAGTGGTGTGTGCTGTCCAGCTGAGGCTCTCCGAAATGTGAACCCCCAGGAACTTAAAGGTGGAGACCCTCTCCACTCTCTCTCCATTGAGGTGAAGGGGGGCGGGTTCTGGACGGTGCTTTCTGAAGTCTATGATGATTTATTTTGTTTTGCTTCTGTTCAGATGTAGGTTGTTAGCTGAACACCACGCAGACAGCTTCAGGATCTGTTAGAAATTAAAATCAATGTTTTATGGCATAATTTAGTTTAAACATAGCCTACCGTCAGCTTAAAAGCTGTTCTATTCTGAAAAACCAGAAGTTCTCGCACACAATCTCTGATGTCAAGCTTATATTCTGAAAATCCTTCATTTCCGGTTAGCATTTAGCATGTGGCTAATATTCCTTTCCCTACAGAGGTGAATATAGAAACGATATGACACGGAGTGTTGCACACCGAAACCTACTGATTTCAACACTACAACTATCGACGTCGAGATATTATTATTGCTGAATATTAAATGAAGGAACAGTTTATTTTAATACGTTTTGTTTACAGACGTGGGGCAACATCCGGGACTACCGTAAATGATAACTGCCGTGAAGTATTTCCAGTATTATTAAAGTAATGAATTACAGCCGTTAAAATGCAATAAATGAAAAGTCATGAAAGAGAATATGAGGAGGAAAGGCATGTTTAGTTGAATGTACAATGGCTGAGTCCTCTGTTATGCGCAACAACGGACATTGAAGACGAGTGGAGGGCGGACGCCCAGCAGCGCCAACCGGCACACGAGGAGAGGCCATCGGAAGATACTTAAACAGCTGACGTGCGTGTTTCTGCCCTCTCTCTTTGGCTCTCGAGACCCCGAGAACACAGCTGTTTTCTCTCTGAACAATATTCTGCAACATACCGCACCATTTTAATTAAAGTACCCATTTGAACATTATGCCAGAGACTCCATTGGTCTCATTTATCCTAAGCTTCTCTCCTGGACGCGAGAATAACGAACAAAGCTAATAGATCTCGTCTCTGTATGCCGACTCGTCGTCTCCCTTATATATTTGAAAATGTGTACATTTGTTTTGAATAGCCACGCTCAGAAACGGGCAAAAGCAAACAAATACGAACTCTTCCTAGAGAGTAGGTCAGAAATAAAAAATAAGGGAGGGCCCGTTCAACGCTGCGTGAAGCTTTGTTTGAATGCATAGAGTAACAAACTTACACATTTGAGGCGAATCCGTTATCTTTTTTTCTAAACATAACCAAGTGGTTTTGATGCGTATGTGTTTAGCTTTGTTTCAATGAACAAGTTAACCGCATGTTTAAAACTGAGATATTTGGTGACTTCTGGGTGTGCTGTAAGAAGTCTCGACAATCACAGAAACATATTTAGGGGTCAACAAACTGAGTTTCTGAGCGGGCCTGGGGCTGTGGGACATCTGAGAGGAGGGGCATTAATGTGTCCTGTGATGTTCTTGTTGTGATGAGCATGTTGTTGTGTTTGTGTGAAGGTGGAGGCTCTGCTATGGATCAGTGTGAAGACAGAGAGGAGGGAGTCCCCCCCCTCTCTGTGTGGGGAACATGACAGCCAGACCAAAGCTCAGAGGTGAGATCTCCAACTGTCCATGACTCTTCTCCATGTCACAGCTCAGCACTCATTATTCACTCAAAGCTCTGTGTTGTGTTCCAGACCAGAACAAACAACACACTCTGCTGGACCTGGACCTGGACCTGAACCTGGACCTGAACCTGGACCTTTGAAAAACAAAGAAAGTATTTTTTTGCATAAACCCATGTTATTTCAGATGTAAGATTATTTAATATTTTGTGTTGGTATCTTTTGGATCTCTGCAGGGAGAAAATATGGCGACTCTGAAAGATATCCTCTTCAGAACTTTAGAACAATTGGGGAAAGAGGACTTTGAAGAATTCAAGTGGCACCTGCAGCAGGAGGTCCTAGGATTTGAAGGAATCCCAAAGAGTCGACTAGAGGATGCATGTCGGACACAAACTGTGGACCAAATGTTTCTGAACTACGGCATTAACACTATTAAAGTGACCAGAAACGTTTTGAAGGAGATTAATCAGAATCTTCTGGAGGAGAAATTATCAAACATTCCATCAGAACCGACAGGTAGGTCATTAGTTAAAAAGGAGTGTTACAAACAGGAAACCTGAGGTCAGGTAAATCACAATGATAACATGGATTGGATGTTTCCTCCTGATATACCACACAGAGAAACACCACCTGTACATGGTGTCAGGGTTCAGGTTCCCCCACGACCCTGAAAGCTCAGTGGTCAGGGTCAATAGTTTCTGGCAGAGTCACTTTTTAGATCAACTACTTGAAGAAAAAAAGCAACCCTATCAGGCAGACCAGGTCCTCATCCTGCAGCCAGGCACTGGGGTCTACACACCACTGGGTCTAAGGGTCCAATCAATGCCAGTTGGGTTGTAGGTGAAGGAGAGGAACATGGTATACAAACTTCAATAGGGTCAATAGAGTTTTCCATCCACCCTGTCTTATGGACGAAGGGAAAGATTATTACTGTGACCCACAGGGCGTCTTGTTGATATTAGCCTATTGCAGGATTACGCAGTATTTGGCCAATTACTAAGAGCAATCCACTTCCTGTATAACTGGAGTGAGAGCTGAGTCCACATCCTCAGAGGTCGATCTTCCAGGGTCGAGCCTCGTCTTCCAGCAGCAGGAATAAGAGTCGTCAGGTTTAAGGCCATGGTTCTCTGGGGACCACAGATTGTTCATTCTGGTTTCAAAAATATTTTTTTTCAAAGAAACATTTTTGAAAAGCAACAAGATGCGGCGTCTTGATCCAAGGAAAATAATCTACTGTCTTGTCAAAAATGTGTAAAATTAGGAACCAAACTTGTGATGGTTATTTTATGTGGAAAGTATCATTGTCTCAATTGAGGGATTATTTTTGTCTTCATTCAGAGCTTCATTCAGAGCTTCATTCAGAGCTTCTCACTCAGTGCCAAGGGAACCTCAAATTCAACCTGAAGAAAAAAATTGAGAAAATCATAAAAAAGGGTAATTCAAGACCTCTAAATGAAATCTACACGGAGATCTACATCACCATGGGAGAAACTACAGCTGAAGAGCATGAGATCAGACAGATTGAAACAGCATCCAGGAAACCAGACAGACCAGAAACAACCATCAGACAAGAAGACCTCTTTAAAGCCTCACCTGGAAGAGATGCACCAATCAGAGCAGTGCTGACAAAGGGAGTGGCTGGCATCGGGAAAACAGTCTTAACACAGAAGTTCACTCTGGACTGGGCTGAAGGCAAAGCCAACCAGGACATCCAGTTCACATTTCCATTACCTTTCAGAGAGCTGAATGTGGTGAGAGAGAACAAGTACAGCTTGGTGGAACTTGTTCATCACTTCTTCTCTGAAACCAGAGACGCAGGAATCTGCAGGTTTGATCAGTTCTCGGTTTTGTTCATCTTTGACGGTCTGGATGAGTGTCGACTTCCTCTGGACTTCCTCAACACTGAGATCCTGACTGATGTCACAGAGTCCACCTCAGTGGATGTGCTGCTGACAAACCTCATCAGGGGGAAGCTGCTTCCCTCTGCTCGCCTCTGGATAACCACACGACCTGCAGCAGCCAATCAGATCCCTCCTGAGTGTGTGGACATGGTGACAGAGGTCCGAGGGTTCACTGACCCACAGAAGGAGGAGTACTTCAGGAAGAGATTCAGAGATCAGGAGCAGGCCAGCACCATCATCTCCCACATCAAGAGATCACGAAGCCTCCACATCATGTGCCACATCCCAGTCTTCTGCTGGATCTCTGCTTCAGTTCTGGAGAAAGTGTTGAAAACCAGAGAGGGAAGGAGAGCTAGCCCAAGACCCTGACTGAGATGTACATCCACTTCCTGGTGGTTCAGTCCAAAGTGAAGAACGTCAAGTATCGTGGAAAAAGGGAAACAGATTTCCACTGGAGTCCAGAGAGCAGGAAGATGATGGAGGCTCTGGGAAAACTGGCCTTTGAGCAGCTGCAGAAAGGCAACCTGATCTTCTATGAGTCCGACCTGACAGAGTGTGACATCGATATCACAGAAGCCTCAGTGTACTCAGGAGTGTTCACACAGGTCTTTAGAGAGGAGAGTGAATTGTACAAGGACACGGTGTTCTGCTTCGTCCATCTGAGCGTTCAGGAGTTTCTGGCTGCTCTTCATGTCCATCTGACCTTCATCAACTCTGGAGTCAACCTGCTGGCAGAAGAACCAACAACCTCCTGGCTGCTTAAAGTGTTCAGAGACAACCCTCAACTTAAACATCTCTACCAGAGTGCTGTGGACCAGGCCTTACAGAGTCCAAACGGACACCTGGACTTGTTCCTTCGCTTCCTCCTGGGTCTTTCACTGCAGACCAATCAGAAACTCCTACATGGCCTGCTGACAGAAACAGGAAGTAGCTCAGAGATCAACCAGAAAACAGTTGAGTACATCAAGAAGAAGATAAATGAGAACCCGTCTCCAGAGAGAAGCATCAACCTGTTCCACTGTCTGAATGAACTGAATGATCGTTCTCTAGTGAAGCAGATCCAACAGTCCCTGAGATCAGGAAGTCTCTCCACAGATAATCTGTCTCCTGCTCTGTGGTCAGCTCTGGTCTTCATCTTACTGTCATCAGGAAAAGATCTGGACGTCTTTGACCTGAATAAATACTCTGCTTCAGAGAAGGCTCTTCTGAGGCTGCTGCCAGTGGTCAAAGCCTCCAGGAAAGCTCTGTAAGTGGAGATACAAACAACATTGATCAGTTTCAAAAATGATAAATTAAATAAATTGTGTTCATTGCTAATCCTTCCCCAGGCTGAGTGGCTGTAAGCTGTCAGAGAGAAGCTGTGCAGCTCTGTCCTCAGTCCTCAGCTCCCAGTCCTCTAGTCTGAGAGAGCTGGACCTGAGTAACAACGACCTGCAGGATTCAGGAGTGAAGCTGCTGTCTGCTGGACTGGAGAGTCCACACTGTGAACTGGAGACTCTCAGGTCAGAGCACAGGTTTTAAAAAAAAAATAGTTTTACTTAAAACCTGCTCATCCAGCTTCAGGTTCATGTTGATGAAGATGGTCGACCTCTGTATGATTTTCCTGCTGCTTTTTAAAACACTGAGTTTACTGTATTCCCTGGTTCCAGTCTGGCAGGCTGTCTAGTCACAGAGGAAGGCTGTGTTTCTCTGGCTTCAGCTCTGAGCTCCAACCCCTCCCATCTGAGAGAGCTGGACCTGAGCTACAATCATCCAGGAGACTCAGGAGAGAAGCTGCTGTCTGCTGGACTGGAGGATCCACGCAGGAGACTGAAGTCACTCACGTATGTGTTCGGGTAACGGCTAACAGAGCTAAACTCACAGTAGGACTCTGTTCAGAGGTTACAGGCTTACAACACAATCTGCCAGTTATGTGTTATAATTGTATCTTGATTATTTACTGGCCTGCTTTGGCCGATGATCAGCATATTACCTAGTCGCTGATGGGAAACCACAATTTACTTTTTGTGATTCTTTATTACGTAAACTGATGATCGACACGTCCAGGTACGCAACCTTTCTTTTACTCATAATGCCATCATGAACATCACATTCATGTTGATATCAGCAGGAGGAGAGCTGGTAAACTAAGCCGTTAGCCGTTAGCTGTTAGCCATTGACTGTAAGCAGGTAGCTGTTAGCAGTTGGCTGTTAGCAGTTAGCCTTTAGCAGTTAGCTGTTGAATGTGTACGGCAGGGATCACCAACTATATTTGTCCAAGGGCCAAAATGTACTGCATAAAGCTTCGCAGACTCTTCACGCTAACGAAGGATCACTTCTAGGCAGGGTTGGGAGGGTTACTTTGTAAATGTAATCAGTTACTGAATACATGCTCTGAAAGTAATCAGAATACAGTTACGTGTTCAGATTACTTTTAGAATACTTTTGGAATACTTTCTTTTTCCATAACAGATGGGTATGTTTTGGTGAACAGGAGACACTTGTTTTACTGTTTTAATGGCTTATCAAGAACTCAAACACAACATCTTGGTGTCATTCTGGACAGCTCTCTCATCTGCACCACACATAAAAAACATCACCCGGACTGCATTCTTTGTACTGTCTTAAAACCTTTCCTTGGAATATGTTATGGATTGTAAGGTGTCCTTGGGTGCTTTGAAAGGCGCCCCTAAATAGAATGAATTATCATTATTATTTATTATCTGAAACGATGTAATAACTTTTAAAACTGTTTCCAGTCACTTGCCCCAGGCATTCAGCAGCAGCAGGCCATTCACTTTGATTTGATCCCGTTATAAATGTCATCATCTCGACAATAAAGAAATGCTACATAAACGTTATCTTGCACATTTTATCTAACCATCTCTGTTTCTAACTTTCAATATAGTTTAAAAGAGATCTCTCTCTCACCTGCGTGCGGGGGCGGGGCCTCACAGACACGCTGCATCTCTCTCTCGCTCACAGACATGCTGCAGCGCTGTGCAGGTGCACACAGTTCTGCCGGTAATGAATATTACATTTTGTGAGGAAACTTTTCCACCAATAATTCCAAAAAGTATTCCAAAATGTATTCACTTCAGGTTTACGAAAGTGACTGTAATCAGATTACTAGTTTTTCAAATGTAACGCCAGCTGAATACAGTTAGCCTACTTGATGTTTGTATTCTGATTACGTAACGCCGTTACATGTATTCCGTTACAACCCAACCCTGCTTCTAGGCTACTGTCCCGCAGCTCCTGCCTCTCTGTTGGACTCTGTCGCAGCAGGGCTGCTGCTGTGGTGCGGACCGCATTAACCAGACTCTTCACAACGAAGGATCACTTCTTCTTCAAGGCAGGGAAGGTTGCGCAGTACGCAGTCTAATGTCCCGCAGCTGCTGCCTCTCTGTTGGACTCCGGTACTGCACCTTACTCACGAGACGTTGTAAAAGAAAAATGGTTGGGGGGCGAACGCAGTAACCACTCAGCCAACGCCACAGTCACCCCCGTCGTGCGGGCCGGATGAGAATGTCTGGCGGGCCGGATGTGGCCCGCGGGCCGCCAGTTGGTGGTCACTGGTGTACGTGATGCCTCACTGCACATTATCCCGCTTATTACACGGCTACATGATAAAAAAACGTACTACTTGATGATTTGATTGACTTTAAAATGATGGGCATGGTTCCGGTGACGTCACCATACCGAATGGCAGCCGAGTCTAGCTTCTCCCCCGGTAAGAGATTAATTTCGCCTCGTTAAATTGCTAAATAAGAAATGTCTCTGTAAAATTACAAATAGTTAACGGGGCGAAGATGGGAAGAAAGGATGGACAAAAGAAAAACATTGGCTCAGAGTCTACCAACGAAGAAAATACAACGAACAACTCGCCTGCACAGGTTGATGATGCGTGGCTAGCTTAGCTAAAGTTCTGGAGGAGATACAGGACTTTCGCAAAGACACAAAGAACAATTAAGCAACATTTTATCCGAGCTTACCAACGTCAACGTTAAAATAGCGGAGGCAGAAATGAGAATTGAAAACGTGGAAGGTGCTGAGCAAGATGATAAAGGTAATGAATCAGCAAGAAAATAAACTGACTGACGAAGAAGAAGGAAGATCCCGACGGGAGAATATAAGGATTTATAATGTGAGGGAGCAGAGAGGTCATCTATGGTTTACTTTGTGAAGAGTTTACTACAAGAGTACTTGAGATCCCCCCCCGCCACGGAGCTCGGCATGTTGCGCTCGTACCGAGGGCCTCCGGAGACAGGGAGGACAAGCCGCGTCAATAACTATCAAGTTTCTCCGATATTCAACTGAAGACGATATTATACGCAAGCCATGGGGAAAAAAGGTGTTTTAGAACGGGAGACAGATATATTTCTCCCAAGATTACCCACCAGCTATTTTGCAAAAACGTAAAGACTACTCCGAGTCAAAGCGAGTGCTATATGACGCAGATGTTAACGGTAGAACCATATCATGTGTATACTAAGGATTGACAAACCTTAAAAAACACTCAAATACTTACATAATACAGAAGTGGGAGCAGGAAGGAGGGATACATATATCTGGAGAAGAATGGGTAACAATGTGGAGATATCAATGGAAATGTACCAGCTGGCAGAACTGGAGGGAATATACCTGGAAGAACCTGATAGGATATTTTATTCCCCCTCTCAGGAGTCCCACTATGAGAGGACCCCCCTATATGTTGGAGGAACTGTGGTGACCAGAATGCAAACCACTTCCATGTATTCTGGGACTGTCCAGGTATCAAAGACTACTGGAAGGAGATACACAACGCCTTACAAGACATTTTCAAAGACATGATACCTCTAGAGATCAAGATGTTACACTTTGTGAATTTGAGAAAGGACAAATACTCATTGAACATTCTGCTGGTTGCTGCTGAGAAGGCATTAACCAGGAAGTGGTTATCGAAGCATTGTTAGGAACCTTGACTCAATAGTTTAGAGGACTCAAATGCACAACCCAGAGACAAAAAAGGTTTGAAGAAAAATAATCTTTACTTGCAAAAACAAAATCACTCTTTTAGAGGAAATAACAAAATGACAAAAGTAAAGCGCTCACATGGAGGGGAAAAAGGCAAAACACTAAATCTCTTAAGCGATGGCTTGGATCTGGCTTCTTGGGACGACGAACAAGACGAACCGACAACTAACAAGGGGAGACAGGACAATATATACATGAGGTAAGTGAGCACAGGTGGAAACAATCAGGGGTGGGGCAGACACTGACGATGGCGGGAAAAAGAACCAAAGCAGGAAGTAAAGGGACCTGGAATGAGACAAGATGAGTACAAAATAAAACAGGAAGTGTAACATAAACTAACCTAACATGAACATGACAATCACAAACATGACACAACTTAACATGATTGACGGGACACTACAAGCATATTCCTACTCTAAATGGATGGATGGACATCTCAATGGATATTTACAATATGGGAAAGATAACAGCATCTGTCAATCATACATTGGTCAATTTACTCCAACCTGTGAGAAGTGGACTCACTTTGTAAAGCCCTAAAGGCCTGACTTAGTTTTCACAGATCCAGAACTCTGCTGTAAAGAAATGTCTACTCCCCAATTGTTCACTGTTGTTCTATTCCTTTTCAATGTCTTTCTCCTCTGTGTTTTTTGAGTCATCATGTGCATATTGCTGAACAGAACTAAGAACAGATGTATGTCCTTCCTGTAAAGATGCAATGTACAATATGCTGTGACAATGTTTGACACTAAATGCCAACAAAAAAGCTTCCTCTAAGAAAGTAAACTCTGCTCCACGAGGTACCAGCAGCTAGGACTCATGTTGGATAGAACATCATCCTGACTGTGTTTCTTCCTCCAGGCTGGACCATGGTGGAGAGCAGAGGCTAAAACCAGGTGTGAGGAAGTGTAAGTGTGGATCAGTCAGCTTCCCTTTAAAGACAAAGATGATGGAGGTGGTAGTTATTCATTAAAACACGACTGGCATGCATCGCCTTTAAACTTTATAATAATAATAATACATGACACTTATACAGCGCTATTATAGAAAGGATCACTAACGGAGAGTAAAGCCTTCAGGTGGGTCCAGGGACCTCATTTATAAAGCCTTGCGTACGGCACGTCCTACGCCGGTTTCCCTTTATAAATCACAATCAACTCGAAATGTGGTGCAGCTTTTGCGGGCTTCACGTAACGCCCATATTTGCCTATAAATAGTCAAAGAAACGCCCATTCATTCATTCTGACTGACTGCAGGAAGAAGATCGCAGGAAATGAGGACAGAACAGCTAAAAAAGACGTCTCACACCGTGTCAGATTCTGGTTATTTTGGGGAGGTGGAGATAAATCATATTGTTTGGTGGATGCAGTTTGAACCAGAGTAGCAGCATGGAGGTCGGATCGTCACCAAAATAAATAAATAAGTGGTCCGAAAAAGGTTAATGACGAAATACACATAAAAGAAGTGTGTCAGTGTGTTTGTGCCGGGGACAGGAGACCTATTTGGTGGTTTGTGCTCCAGCTGTCGATCAGCTGTGCGCAGCGTCTCCACTGCAGCCTGTGCGTCTCAACCCCCCCGCAGCAACTTGATCCACCACTTAAATAAAATCAAACTAATGTGTCTGTACAATTCAACAAAATGGTGTTCTCTTACTTTGCATACCTGTGTTTTACGAGCGATTAGATACAATGACGTTTTAAAAAAATATAAATGTACAATAAGGAACAAAAAACTAAATGATACCCACATGAAACTTGAGGATATTGAGAAAGCCATTGATCAAAATCAATTCTGGATTCTGTGGAACAACTTCAACACAAAACAACCACAAGCATTACCCATCCAAAACGGTGACATCTGGAGAGAACATTTTGAAAGTTTGTACAAAGACATACCAATAAATCTAATGAATTCAAATCAATGTATTACAAAAGAGAAACTCCAAACATTAGAAGAAACTATTAAAGACAACCAAAAGCCCCTTGATTTCCCGATGACTTGGGAAGAGTTGACCACACACACACAATCTCTCCGGCCAAGGAAAGCTTGTGGCCCAGACAACATTAAAAACGAAATGCTCAGATGCAGCACCCCAGAGATGCAGGGACAGTGTTCAAGCTGTTCAGTCTCGTATTGCAGTCAGGATGTTCTCATCTGGTGCAAAGGGCTCATTTCCCTCATTCATAAGAGTGGAGACAATCAGACCCTCAGAACTACCGTGGCGTCTGTGTCAGCAGCTGTCCGGGGAAATTATTCTGTAGCATTCTAAATAAAAGAATACAAGATTTCCTTAACCAACAATCCATCTTGAGTAAAAATCAAATTGGCTTCCTTCCAAAACACCGCACCACCGACCATGTGTATACCCTTCACACTTTAGTTAACTAACATGGACACCAAACACTACATGGTAAGATATTCACTTGTTTCATTGATTTCAAAAAAGCTTTCGACTCTATTTGGCACGAAGGGTTCTATTATAGACTTCTACATTGTGGTATAGGGGGCAAAATGTACGATCTGGTTGATTCAATGTATTTAGGGAATAAGTGTGCTGTTAAAATTGGAGACAAACAAACTGAATTCTTCACCCAGAGAAGAGGCGTTCGTCAGGGTTGCAATTTAAGTCCCACTTTATTTAATATATATATAAATGAACTTGCTGTTCAGTTGGATCACTGTGATCCAGCCCCCGAGACACCCTCCACTCCAAAGCCCTCCAAAGCCAAGAGCTAACCCAGAGAAGAGTCCCCTATGTCAGCTGGTGCTGAGGCTAGCTGCCCCCTCTCAGAGCCACTCTGACCAGTCTCTCAGCAACACTGCTCTCCAAACACCAATCACAGTCAAACGCATTATAACACAATGTAAACACAACTATTTACAACATTGGGAAGAAGAAACTAAAAGCCAAAGTAGATTAGAATGTTACCTGGCTCTAAACAGAGAGTATGAGCTGGCAGAATATCTCTCTACTGTCAGAGATAGAAAGCAGAGACAGATCCTAACCAAGTACAGGCTCAGTGACCACAGACTGGCAATCGAAACAGGAAGACTCAAAAGATCCTGGCTACCAAAAGAGAACAGAATATGT